TTTGGGAAAATGGTAACGTGGTTCGTGTTTAATTGATTTTGTGTGACAATGTCGAATTGTTTGATATTAATACAGGCGTATTTGGGGTGTGGTATATATGCGGCGTGACACGAGACTGATAGAAAACTGTTGGTATAAAAATATGAAAATGGAATGGAAAATAATTTGGGAAAGAAAATATATTAATTTGTGAGTAGAAGAGATTGTACAGTGCTGGCATTCTTCTTTCTACATTTGCTCATACTCATTACATGTATATATATATAGGCATGATTGAGGCGGTGGGTCATGTCCAGAAGCTTCCCTACTTAACTAGTAAAAAACACTCACAGCAGCCACATAGTGGGTCTCTTAATAAAATATCATGTCATATCAGAAATAAACTTAGTCTATTAAAAAATATCTTCTGATGTAATTAAAAGTGGACATGGTTTAGCTTATGTAGCAATCAAAAAAAGAGACCAAGTCCACACTTGGGTCTTTTTGGATCCAAGTACAAACCCAAACACTCATCATTTATTCATAACTAGTGTATATCCCGTGCGATGCACGGAGGAGCTCATATTTTAAACTTTTTTTTAGACTTTATTTTAAATATAATTATTTATATTTTTCACATCTCGTTATTATGAAATTAAAATAAATGCAAAAAATGAAAAATATATATTATTAAACACTTCTCTTTATACAATATTTTTTATTTAAGGAATATTATCAAACCTATATGATTGTTAACGTACAAAAAATAATGGAAATAATCCATACTTTAAGGTAAAACTATTCTTTTATTATTTTACAAATAAAAATCATCCATTTTTTTATTTAAAAAAAAATTGACAAGTTTGTTAATGAGTTAAATCAAGTTATACAAATGATTAAATAGTTAAACTATTATATTAATTATATTTTAAGAAATCCGATTATATAAATGTAGGTAAAAAAATATTATGCTAATTAGTTTGTTAGGATTGTGATTATGTGGAATTTAAGATAAAATGAAATGTAACCAAAAAATCTGTTCGTGGTCTTTTCTTTTAAATGTTTGAATTTAAAATTATATAACCAAATTTACATTATATCACATAAGGAAAAATAAATAATAATATTTATGAATATGTTTAAAAATTTAATTTTGAATTTCAAATAGAGTAGAAGACGGAATAATTCAAATTTGTTTTCAAAACGTTTTTGAAGTCTTTAATATTCTGGTAAGTATACCCGTAAGAATAATTTTACTATTTTAATTTCAAAAATTTTGGCAAGTTTGTTAATAAGATAAATTCGGTTAGACAAAAGATTAATTAGTTAAAATATTATATTAATTATATTTTAAAAATTCCAGTTATATAATTGTAATTGTATTAATTAATTTGTTAAAATGTAATTATATGGAGTTAAGACAAAATGAAATGTACCCAAAAAAATCTGTTTAGAATCTTTTTCTTTAAATGTTTGAATTTAAAATTTTAATATCGAATTTTGATTATATCACATAATGAAAAAATAAATAATAAACATTTATTAATATATTAAAATATGTAATATTAAATTTCATATAAAGTATAAGGTATGATAATTCAAATTTATTTTTTAAATAAAAGCTATGATAAACATTTATTGTTTCTCTTTCAAAATATTAATAAATAAAAATATAAATCCAAACAAATTTTGATAAAATGGAATGTACCCAAAAAATCTGTTTGTAATATTTCCTTTAAACAATTTTTTTTTTCAATTTTAAACAAAAGATAAACATAATCGGTTGAGAAAAAAAGAAGTCAAATATACTGCTAAAATAAAAATCTATTTTCCCTAATCAAAAGGAACTTGAATTTATATGATATGGAAGAAATCTCATCCAAAATATATTGAACTCATCCAAAACATACTGAATTTCGGAATGAAAAAATTTCAAATGTTCGAAAAAATTTCAAACAAAATTTTAGGAGGGAAAAAATGATTTGAGCGGTAAAATGAAATAATTTTTCAAACATTTTTTCTTCTCTCTATTATATAGTAATAGATTTAATTTTTTTTTTTAATAAAGGAAACATATTATAACATTTTTATTGGTTGACATGTATGCTAGACCTAGCATTTTATTTTTGCATTGAATGGCTTTTGAGTTTTTTACTTGGGTTTATCCATGTCATAGGACTTAAGTCTATTTATGTAAAATTAGACCCAATACATTACTTAATATATATTTTCTAAAATGATCACAAGAACACTACAAATTTTCTAGATTGAGCTTTAATATTTAACAAAAACGTAGGCTACATGATCATGTTAATTTGAATGTCAATTTGATAATATCGTTTTTATTTTACTTTTTTTTTCTTTACTATATTAAGCATAATTGGTTTTTTGCAATTTTAATCCGATAAATTAAAACCCAATTGTCACTTTTTGTCATTCTAACTTACCGGGATTCAAATTTGATATAGCAAAATTTGATTTGTTTTTATGTATCATCCAGTGATAATCTTCCCACCTAGATGTGGCTATCTGGTTTCGATGGCTATAAATAAATGTTTTCGTCCAATTTATAGAAAATAGTTTATACTGAATAAAAAGTAGTTAACTGATAGATATATAAAGCATACAATTACTGGCCATTGGATCCAAAATGCTAGAAACTTAAAGATAATGTAAGTAATGAAACAGTGGACAAAAAAGAAGCAAGAACAAGAGCCACACAATGAAAGAGATGCATGGTGACGTAGTGGTGGTAGGATGAGCATTAACTTGGGAATTCGGACAAGCTAAGGTACATCAATGTGTGGATGTAGTACTATGTTGTACAGTAACACAGTAATACATATTTTAATTTATATTTTTAATTAAAAAAATAAATGTGTGGATGTAGTACTATGTGTGCATTATTATTATTATTTATTTATTTATTTATTATTATTATTAACTTTAAAAGGACGAGTGTTTTTGTAAAAATATGAACTACCTAAAATAACCTTACTTTGATATATTTTTAATGACAAAATTAGTAATACAGTAATACATATTTTAATTTATATTTTTAATTAAAAAAATAAATTACCTAAAAAACTCTTACTTTAACATGTTTTTAATGGCAAATTAGTAATACAATAATACCTATCATATCTTATAATTTTAATTAATAACTAATGCTTAATTACTTAAATACAAATACATGAACAATACATTTCACATCTCCTAAAAATCAAACACAATATTCACGCACCATTATTTCTCACGAAATTGATTTCTTCCACATATCTCCCAAAAATCAACCTAACATCAACCTAAACAATAAAGTTTTGAAAAGATATAAAATTGTTGTTTTAAAAAAAATCCTTGAATATAATTTTATACATTATCTGACAAACTAGAAAAGTTGAACAATTCATTTAACTTCATTATTTAAGAAAAGTAAAATCTTATATGTAGAATTAGAATAGAAATTTCACTTTAGTCTTACTGGATGGAATTTTGATCCCACAAAAATCGTCATTTGTTTGTTTGTTTGTTTTTTTCTAATTTTAGTTACAAAGTGAATAAAATTAACGAATTTTCACTTGACCATTAAATGGTTAATATCAAGGTGAGTAATATTTTAATTATTAACACTTAGAATATATGAATTTTACATTCAATAATTAAGTAAAATATCATGAGATTTTAATTATTATTATTTTATATGAGCCACTGATTTTAAAGATGTGTGCTAAATAAAAGAATGATTTGAAAGTAAAAAATAATAATAAATCTGATGAATAACATTAAAAATATAATTAAGGTGTAAGGCTTGCTAATAAATATGAAAACAAATAATAAATAAAAATTTTATAATTAATAAAATTAAACATAAAACTTTTAAAACTTATATTTATCGATGTAAATGAATCGAATTGTTTATTTATTTTTATTTTTTTGTGCTTATTAGTTCTATGTGTAACTTTTAGGTGATAGATAATAGTTATTTGTAATTTTATCCATGTAGGTTGGAAATTTTAATATTTAAAAAAATGATTATTTTAATTTCAAATAAATTTTTATTTTCTATTAGTTTTTTTAATATAACATATAAATATCATATTACAATATAAAATAATTTTATATTGGGGCACGATATAGCTAATAGAAAAAGTATACCATCAAAATAACATAATGCCATTACAATTTATAAATTATACTTTACATAATTTTTCATGTTTCTCACTTGTAATATATTCTAACACATCAGTACAACCACAATAAGTTAAAAAATATTTAATAAGAAAATGATGTTTTTTCTCAATTCAACATAAGAAAATTATTGAAAATAATTTTTTTCAAAAAAATTATAAACAAAAAATCTATGTTGTAGTATAGCTGACTCGGCAATACAATTGATGAATTTATAAATTATGAATATATAACTATAATTCCCCTTGCATTAGTTAAAAAAGACATAAAAAAAATATTTTGAAGATATAGAAAAAAATATGTTGCAAAAGAGAGATTTGAAACTATTATCAATATGGTTCATTTACATTTTATTGAATTCAAAAAGGCCTTTTAAAATAGGAATAGAAAAGTCTATATCATATATTAGATAAAAAATTTGAAAACTTGGCGTGAACTAGCAAATCATTACGGTATTATATCGTAGTGATGCAATTATTCATGATAATAACATGTATAGATAATCTCAGTATATAAATGAATAAGCAGGTCTCAATTGTTGGGTCGTAATTTTGAGATTTATTATATTTTATTTAGTTGTGATGTCGTGTTTATGTTATAACATTAATAAAGTTATGAGTTGAATTAAATTATAGTTGGTTGAGTTTGTAAACTAATTCATTATGTAACTTTCTTTCTTTTAATTTCATTTTTAATATAGGGGACATGATAAAAATTATGAAAAAAATGTTCCCACAATTTCCTTTTTAGATGATACTGCCAAGGGTTGTAGGGTGAAGTTTTTTTGCCCGATATCTTT